GATGTTATTGATTTAAGCAAATTTTTGTGATTTCAAATTTTCTAAAAGTTCTTTGGAGTTTTGAAGTATCCACATCTGATTTACACCACTTCTCGAATATACTGTTGTATAGTACTACTGAAGTTTCTCCTTCATTACAGTAAATGTTTTAGTGAGGAGTAAAGAAAGAGGCTTGGTAGAACATTTACTGTAACTCGCTATGTATTTTTCTTTGTAAGAATTTTTATAAAGTTTAGGAATCAAGTAAAGGTGTGGTAATTCAAATCCATTTTGATTGTTGGAAATATCAAAAATATCTAAAAAACGGGCATATGATTTTGAAGAATTTCCTGCTTAGAAAGGGATCTATGGGTGTATAGTTGGATTTCCACCTGCAGAATTAAATCCTAGTTCCTTTAAAATACAATTCAAATAATGAGCCTTACAAAAAAAAGACTATGTTGTTACCAGCTTTGTCAGCTGGGACCAGTACATACTGATCGTGTATTCTATCTAATTCCTTTTTCACTTCTGAATTATCAAACACAGAAGGATAAATAGTTTTCATGCAGCCCCTCAATCGCTTAATGCGAGATTTCAACATCCATCTGATGCTCTTAATCCATTCTGACAAAGTGTCAATTATGACGCCAGTTGAAGAACGGGGTTCCCTACATTTTGGCCCTTTTCAATGGTCCATCTACCTGTTTGTCCTCTGTATTCTTGGATCACTGTCATCATCTATAAAACCACCTGGTCAATTTCGACTGATCTCACCACAAAGGCAAACTTATATTGAGTCATATTATTATGCAAGATCCCTAGACCCCTTTGAATTTGTGACAGTTCTAGCTATACACAAAGTTAAATAAAATGTGAAGATAACGAACAGCTAGTGATCATTCTCAAAAGTCCATTTAAACAATACTCTTTATGAGCAGAGTCAACACAGACTTCTGAAAATAGAGGTGGGATCAGGTAACATGGAGGAGTAAATATTCTTGTCGATCGGTCACAACGGCGGTATGTTCCTTGTCATGATAGGGTAAACGGAAAAATCCGTAGACAATTTAGTATGGAAATGATAGTCTAACAATTTTTATGAAAGACGTCAGACAACATTCGATTTAACGACAGATTGTATTTGCAAAGAAGGTCATTGTATTTTTAAAATTTGCGAAATATTGACTTTATACGAGATTGTTGATATCCTTGTATCATCTACTTACATGTATTTGTAAATAGTCTCGTTTTAGAAATTGGAGAACATGCTAAAGATTCCATATCGAATCAACTGAGACATAATCTCCATATGCAGGTGATATTGGTATATTGCTACATAAACAAGGGAAGTTGACTATAGAAAAGTTTAAGTCATTAAGTTCATCTTGAAGTCTTGCAGTCAGTTTATCATCAGTGTCTTTCTCTAGTAAAACATCCAAATATGACTCTCATACACCAACAGCAACAACCACTAGACATAATTGTATATGTTTTTTTTTATTATTTTGCTTTTAAATCAACTTTTAAAAAATTAACCTTTCAAAGTTTAAATAATTATTTACATTCACTCAGCTCTGTTTTCTTACCCATAGTCAGCTTGTTTAACACTTGTATACGGTATCGGGAATTGTTTTCATAAGGTTTTTTTGAATCGCAAAAGTAATTTCTCATTGTCTTGGATAAGCTGGATTCATGACAAAATTTTTACCATGAATCAGTCAATACCATAAAATTTAAAAAAGGGGGTAAAACATTTTAAAATCGCCGGATTACTTCATAGATTTATCTACTAGTAATTCACAAAAAGCATACTTTGCGAAAATCATTATTCTAACCGCCGATTAATTAAATAATGTGAGTGAAATAAAGCTGGTGTGACCTTTCTATTTGGCACATCGCCAAAAAAAATTAAACTGATATATCAAGATCGAGAGGATATAAGAGCCACCGTGGAATTACAACTCATCGTTAATGAAACAAAACACTTTCGTTTTGTAAAGCTTTCCTATTATTTCGTGTAAGAGTCTATATTCATCTTACTACAATGTGTCTCAGATACAATAGCATTACTCCACACAAAGGCTACAGTTTAATCGAGAATCCACTACCGAATAGCGATTAAAGTGTATATCGGACTCGTGGTAATAAAATGTCTTGTTGATATACTTAAATCTAGAAACAAGCCAGGAAGGAATAGCTACTGGTCAGGGTTTATCCTGCTCCATTTATCCCCGGATTCCACGTGACAAAAAGTGACAACTAGTATGGGATAGATGACATTCACTCACATTTATAATCTCAGAAGACCTCAGTAGTAGTATTATGGGTTCTATATGACCATGAATTATAGATAAGTTGAAATAGCAAATGTCAGAGATGAGTGCATTTTTGAAATGTTCATCCCAACATGTCATTCCCTTGATTCAATATACTTTGTTTACTTGCCAATCATCTAACACTATATCTCAGTTAATTCTGATTTAGATGGCGCTGAATCCATTTTTAATGGCGATTTTCACGTCTACACTTAACTTTTTGTATGCTTAGTCATACGGCATGTCGATATGGGGTGTTTGCAAAAAAATAAAAATAAAATAAATAAGTTAGAATAAATAGAAAATAAAAAAGGAAGGAAAAAAGAACGATAAGAATCCAAGATTTCTCTACACTTTTATAGCAGCATCAGGGTAAATATTTAAGCGAATTTTACATGGCTAGATTGCGGCAGGGAGTATGAATGACTAATCTTTTAATGTGCCATGCCATACTCGCAATGGTTCTTTACTGCTCTCTGCCCTCTAGACATAAACCAAGCAAGAAAGGTTTGATTATTTTGTGAACTAAGAAAAGAAATTGAAGACAACAATGTCCCGATGATATTTCGTCTCTTTATTATTATAAGTTTATACTTTGATATTTCGTCTCTCTCTATTATTATAAGTAATTACATTTGGATATTAGTTTGTTCATTGATATATCGTCTCTCTATCATTATAAGTGATTACAATTGGATAATTTTTTCTTTGATATTTCATCGCTATTATTATAAGTCGTTACATTTGGATAGTTTGTACTTTGATATGTCCGCCCCTTCTCTTTTATTATAAGTGATTACATTTGGATACTTTGTACTTACATGCATGTATTCCACTTTGCTGATTTTTAGCTCACCTGAACGAAGTTGGGGGATCTTATGTAATACCCTCGGCGTCGTTGTCCCAGGTTAAAGATTTGGAGCAGATTTCTTTTCAAGTACTTCTATGCCATATATTAATCAAAGATTCATGGAGGATGCTTCCAGCATGTTTCATTTTATCAGTCAAGGTTTCAGATGCTGCAATTTCAGCTTAAGAGTGACCAGGTTAATGTTTTTGGGGTAGGTTAAAGTTTTTGGAGCAGGTCTCATTTCCAAGTAACTATAAGCCCTATATTGACCAAACCTACATGGATGATACATAAATATATATTATTATAACAGTAACTTGCGCGGAGCGCCCTAACACTAGGCGGCTGGTATTGATAATAAGTTTAATTAAGTTAAGCTTCGCGGTTTATAAAGCATAAACTGCCCCAACCCAGATTATACCATATAAATTTAGTAGCTATTGAATTCATTCCTTAAATAAAAGACACCACGGAGTCTGACACAGCTGTTTCATATTTGGATATTTTACTGGAAAAGGGCGTTAATGGTAACCTAACAACAAATCTTTATGATAAATGTGATGAGTTCAACTTTTCTATCGTCAGTCTCCCTTATTTATGTAGCCGTATATCATAAACACCTACATATGGAGTTTATGTCTCCCAGTTGATTCGATACGCAAGAGCTTGCTCTACGTACAAACAATTTCTAAAAAGAGGAAAGATTTTGAAAAGTAAGTTGACGGTGCAAAGATATCAACAGTCTCTTTTAAAGTCAACATTTTGCAAGTTCTATGGTCGATACAATGACCTTATCAACAAAAACAATCTGTCGTTAAATCGAATGTTGACTGACATTTTTCATACTGTTAGGCCATTATTTTCACGATGAATTGACTATGGAGTTTTCAATTTTTCCCTATCATGACAAGAAGCACACGGTGTTGTGACCGGTCGACAGAAGATGTTTATTCCTCCATGGCACCTTATCCCACCTCTGCTGTTTAAGAGGTCCGTGTTTGCTCTGATCCCAATTTGTATTGTTTCAATGGACCTTTGAGCTTGAGTCGCCCGCGTGGCGCAGTGATTAGAGCGTCTGCTCTAGAGTCGCGAAGTAAGGAGTTAATCCTTACGTCGCGGGTTCGAATCCCACTGTGGGACGTGGAGACCGGTCCTTCGGATGAGACCATATAAACCGAGGTCCCGTAGGTGCTGGCATGAAAAAGATCCCTCACTGCTCAATGGCCGTAAGTGCCGAGTATAGGACAAAATTTGCAGCTCTCCACCGGCAAGTGGTGGCGTCTCCATATGAGTGAAAAATTCTCGAGAGGGACGTTAAACAATAAAAACAAACAAAAAAACCTTTGAGCTTAATTACTTTTCGTTATCTTCATATTTCATACACACGCACCAACGAATTACTGTATCCATTGACTGCTTGGTGCAATTACTTTTTTTGTAATTTAATATTTATTTTTTTATTTTTCTATATATAATTTTAATGAAGTGAAAACAACATTTCTTATAGGCAGTTTGTTCTCGAAACAAAAACTGTATGACCGTTTCTTTAATAGACATTGCTGTAAATAGGGTTGTTTCATATCTTACGGTATTACAATGTTATATTCCGGTGCAAAATGTGTCCTCAAGGACAACCCTTCACTGTAGTCCTCATTAAAGATGAGGCACATAAATTTTATTGTCAAAATGTACAAAGGACATAACCCAAGATTATTCAAACCCAAGATTATTTTTTTTTCGTAAAACTGTAATGAATTCTTTTCAACTAATGCTAAACTTAAAACTTTGTTTTATGTTATTGCTATTTTTTTATTCAAGATATTCAATTTAAAAAAAAAATTTATTACATTGAACAATTTTTGAGAAATAAAATACATGTATATATTTACAATGGCACAATCTCAAATACTATATGAGTACAAATATGTACAAGATACCAACAAAAAATTATAAAACTCATTTCTTTTCTGAAATTTCAGAAAATACTATAAAAATTCAAGATACAAATTGGCTTCATTTGCCACGGTGAACTCTTAGAAAATGCTGGCAAATACTTAATAGCATCTATATCAATATTATTGATAAAAGCAAAGGAAAATGGCCACTTACATGATGGTAGTTTGTTATTGAGCATAGATCAGCAGTTGTCCAAAATCATGCTTATCTTCAACACAACCTTTTCAGATATCACAGTGAAAATGAATATTGGAAAAAGCATTAAATTCTGTAACAAAACATCATTACATCATGCGACTGACAAGTTTTCATAAAATTATTGTTGGATTGTTGGTGGCAAATACGTCATCAGTGACATCATTATCCACTACGTCACCTAGACCCGGGATAATCTTAATGAGATCCTCTCGCTTTGAGTTTCGTTGTAGATACAGCGACACAAGGATCACTGCTGTCGTCATAATGAAAAGGAAAGACGTTCCAGCAAAGAAGAATGACCAGCCATACTCGTAACCAAACTTTTTGGTGTCGTCGTCTGCCTCAGACGGCTTTGGGCGATGTCCAACCTCATCGTTGATGGCGGATATATAGAGGATAATTCCAACAGCCAACATCAGTCCTACAGAAAATGTATATTGCTAAAATGGTGACACAGTGAATGCTTAAAGCATAGTGAATATATGATATAATTCATTTAACCATATAGTTCTAAGATACATATATGATCTGTAAATGATGAAAAATAGGGAAGTGTGTGGTTGAGCGATTCAAGTTTACTTGATAAGTGGCGTTTACTCTAGGCCTGAACGTAATTATACGATATAATGATTACTTTGTTATATCTACTTATCAAAAAGTCAAAACAGACTTTTCAGTTAGTTCTCTATTGTTAGTTTTAAATATGATTAAACATAACTAAACTTTTGAGATCAATTATACAACTTTAATCTATTAACAAAACACATTTCCAGGCTTTTTTTAATCAATAATAATTTAATTTTGGTTGTAACGCGATTGATTGGATAAAAAAATTAGTTCAATCGTATAACCTGTGTTGCCTACGTCACAATGACGTAAAAACATATCGATCCGCTTGACGCTACATTTAAAATATTTCAAGGCATTTTTGAAGGAGAAATTGTCTTATTTTCTACACTTAGTGATTGAAAATTAAATTAAATTATAAGGAATGAATTTAATAGCTACCCAAGTTATGCTGGTATAACCTGGGTTGGAACAGTTTACGCTTTTTTATGAACGGCTTCACGTAAACTGCCCCAACACAGGTTATACAGTATACTAGTAACCTGGGTAGCTATTAAATTTATTCCTTAAGTATTAAGCATAAATCATGTGAACTGTTTACTATGTCATCAATTTCAGAATGTGGTGATGTGGATTCAGAAACCACAGTGTGGTGATCCAGAAAGTCGGATCACGCCGTCAGGTAAATGCATGTATTGAGTGATACACAGTAGGGTATGAATATGTCATGATGGGTGACAATATGAAACAATGAAATATATGGAGATAACGAACAGTATTCAAGCTCAAAAGTCCATTATACAATACAAAAGGTGCCAAGGAGGAGTGAGCATCCCCTACCGACCGGTCACACCCGCCGTGTGCTCTTTGTCATGATCGGGAAATAACAGAAAAATCCGTCAACAATTCAGTGTGTAAATAATGGCCTAACAATTAGTATGAAAAACGTCAGTCAGCATTTGACTCAATGATAAACTGTTTTTGCTGACAAAGGCATTGTATCGACCATAGAACTTACGAAATGAGACTTTAAACGAGACTACTGATTTCTTGCTTCATCAACTTGTTTGTCAATAATTTACCTCGTTTTAGAAATTGTACATACGTAGAGCATGCTCTTGCGTATCGAATCAACTGAGAGATATAAACCCCGTATGAAGGTATATTGCTGCATAAGTAAGGGAAGTTGACGATTGAAAAGTTAAAGTCATCACGTTTATCATAAAGCTTGGTTGTACGATTACCATTAACGTCTTTTTCAAGTAAAATATTCAAATATAAAACAGATGTGTCAGACTCTGTGGTATCTTTTATCTCAAGCTCACCGGGATATATCGTATCGACATAAGAATGGAAATAACCATTGTTAATTGACAATACGTCGTCGATATATCTAAATTTCGAGTTGAAGGCCACAGCAAGTGTTTTCTTCTTTTCACATATAAGATTTTGGACAATTTCTGCTTCATATGAATACAAAAAAGGTCTGCTAATAACGGGGCGCAATTGGTACCCATGGGAATTCCAACAGATTGTTGGAAGACCTGGTCTCCAAAAACCACATAGATATTTTCAATGAGAAACTCAAGCATCTTTTTAATATCAACTTCAGATTACTTGTGTGTACCATCAGAATGTTTTTTAACAAAAAAATTTGCAAATGACCAATGACAAGGTAAGTAAATTTACAAGCAGATTTTAAAAACAAATATGTATTATGTTTCAATTTATTGTGGTTCAACTTTTGTGCAACAAATTCACATGAAGTACTGCTGACCTGATAAGATATGAATTCCGGACGAAATCAGGGTTTTGACGTCATGGTTGATGTTTCCGATAACACTCAGAATCGTGGCAATCACAAGCAGTATTAGAGAAACAATTGGGAACACCGTGGACACTCTGTTAGCACCTTAAAAAACAAAAACAAACACTAGATTCCAGTCAACAGAAGTTTTTGTGATTGGGAACACCGTAGACACTCTGTTAGCACCTAAAAAACAAAAACAAACACTAAATTCTTGTCAAAAGAAGTTTTTGTGACTGGGAACACCGTAGACACTCTGTTTTTACCTAATAAACAAAAACAAACACTAAATTCTTGTCAACAAAAGTTTTTGTGATTGGACACACCGTAGACATTCTGTTAGCACATTAAAAAACAAAAACAAACACTAAATTCTTGTCAACAAAAGTTTTTGTGACTGGGAACACCGTAGACACTCTGTTAGCACCTTAAAAAACAAAAACAAACACTAAATTCTTGACAAAAGAAGTTTTTGTGATTGGGAACACCGTAGACACTCTGTTAGCACCTTAAAAAACAAAAACAAACTCTAAATTCTTGTCAACAGAAGTTTTTGTGATTGGGAACACCGTAGACACTCTGTTAGCACCTAAAAAACAAAAACAAATTCTTGACAACAGAAGTTTGTGACAGGGAACACCGTGGACACTCTCATGTCACCTATATAGCAAACAAAAGGTCACAATAGAACTCGATACATGTTTTGCTGATCTTATTGACTTTTCTGTTAGCACCTAGATACAATAAAATATAGATCATAATAGAATTCCGATCAAAACAAGCCCTTTGAGTGGAAACAGCGTGGATAATCCTTTGTCACTAGAGCAATAAAACATTTATTTACCGGGTATATAGAAGACATAGTGAACGCTTTGCTAGCAACTAGAACAATAAAACATTTATTTACCGGGTATATAGAAGACAAAGTGAACACTCTGTTAGCAACTAGAGCAATAAAACATTTATTTACCGGGTATATAGAAGACAAAGTGAACACTCTGTTAGCAACTAGAGCAATAAAACATTTATTTACCGGGTATATAGAAGACATAGTGAACACTCTGTTAGCAACTAGAGCAATAAAACATTTATTTACCGGGTATATAGAAGACATAGTGAACACTCTGTTAGCAACTAGAGCAATAAAACATTTATTTACCGGGTATATAGAAAACATAGCGAACACTCTGCTAGCATCTTAAGCAAAAAGGAAAAAAAAACATTTATTTATCGGGTATATAGAAGACATAGTGAACACCCTATTAGCAACTGAAGCAAAAAAAAATCTATCAGAATCAACTTCTGAATGGCAGTAAACGCACAGTTCTTTCCCGAAGTCTGCATATGTAAACTAACCGGCTGCTTCATCGAAAGTATTGTTCTACTCGTAGTTACAAGTTTTTTTATATTTCTAAATATATAGAAAACTCTCATTATAAATCGAGATTAAAGTCTTTTGAGATAAGAAAAACATGAACATTGGGGTGTCCGTAAGTCAGGTTTGGGGATTAGTGCATTCCTTTCTTTGTTTATTGGAACAAGTTTTTCTTCGTATCCTCCCCAAACTCATCATTCCTCACACAAACCTGTGTATAATGCCAACCTGTGTATAATGCCAGCCTGTGTGTAATTCGATTTGAATTTATTTAACATCCAAGAGTAATCACCTTTGCTATAAATAACGTTTCGAATATTTTTCCTTTTTAAGATTTTGTAAACATGCTCCTGATTCTAGGTTACTTATATTAAATGAAGTGTTCTGAATCTTCGAACACAACGACTTAATGATTAAATATAAACATAGAATTTCATCATGTTTCAACGAACAAATTCTCTTATTTAATACATAATTTCCTAAGAATTGTGTAAAAGACAAAAAAAAAATCATTATTACATGTGCAATAGTAGAAAATGTTACATTCTTAAATTTATATCATCCCAATGTCGAAGGCTCAAGGACTGATATGGGACCTGAGGGATGACATATGGTATAGATTTTGGCATATAGCATTCTATTTACCATATATCTAAAATATATAACATGTGAGTAGTCTAATTTTCTTGTATTTTTTTTGTTTCCTGTGTATGACCCCTTTCTTTAAAAGTAAATATTTAAATTTGCTGTGCTTTTACTTTACAAACTCTGAAACGTGACAAGTGTGAGTGATTTAAACACCAGTAACACTCACAAAACTAAAAACATTCCTTTAATAGGATCAAGTATAGGTCACATTAGGTTATTTTAAAACATTAAGTCACCCAAATTCATGTTAATTACAATTAAATCAAGGTAATCAAGTGTAAACGTAATTTGGAGAAGAAATTGTGTAATTTCAAAAAAAAATCTCTTTATTAAAAGAATGCGGAATGGATTGTATTGTATATATTATACATTGATACGCTTTCTTTCAATTAATACAATGATTCAAATTGTTTCGTTCCTAGTGTATTCCATTTATTAATAACAGTTCTAATAAAGAAAAAAAATCTAACCTTTAGGTCTAGAGTAATTTATATAATTATTTGTAGCATACCATGCGCTAAAGCGCTATTTTAAAGAAAGAATATTGTTCAAGTTAACATGACTTAAACTATGATTTTCCTCATCTATCTAATGGCTTCCAACCAGTTCCAGTTAAATTGATTTCCTTGATGCAATGAACTATGAAGATAACGAACAGTAATCGAGCTGAAAAGTCTATTGACACAATGCAAATGTAGAGCTGAGCAACCACGGAACTCTAAAACATCAAAGGTGGGAGTAATAAAAGTAATGCAAGTAATAAAAACGGTAATTTTTCTCTGACCATTGTTGAATTTTTGCCCTTTCTTTCTTATTCTGTCACACTATATTCTCCCTATACATGAAAAAGGGTGAAGATCAAGAGTATTCTGACTGAGAACTAATTAAATCTGACTATATAAGAGAAACTGCTTTGTGACAATTGAATTTTTGATATTTCAACAGGCGTAGCTTTTTTTGGACAAGTAGCAGTATTTACGTTTATCATTACTTTGTTTTATTGTTAAAATGTATTCTTCAGGGGAAAAAACGAAAATATTTGCAGACTGGAATCGCATTCATTTGATAAGCAATACTTTTTGTCTCTTTGCTTTCTTTAGGGAATAATTTAAAGTTACTTATCTGCGTATTTGGAACATTTAGAAATACTACAGTTGGGTCAGCTAATATAGCTTTTTTATTATAGATACATTTATATGGAAAGAGGTAACGAAAACGAAGTGATTAATCTTCTTAATCCAACCAAGAAATTGAAAACAATAATACAAATGACTGGCTACACAATAGGTGGATCAGGTGCCCCAGAGTATGCATTCCGCCAGGCTTGTTCAACCGACCATTCCATGTTTTACCCGAATTGTGGGAATTAAGAAAACATATGTGACAACCTTTATTAAACCTGACTTTGTACACTTTAGAATGAACTTCTTGAAGCATATGCTAAGGTTCCTATGATGTTATTTTAATTGACATCAATGCTTCTCAGAGTGAGAGTTGAAGTCTTCCACATCATTTAAATTATGACAATTTGTCTGAGCTACTTCTGAAGCATTATGATCTTTGTGATATTTTCTGCTCAAACTGGATCATTCGATCTCTTCAAGTGCGCAAATTAGATAGTTATTTGGCAGACAGTTTTTCTCTTTATATATTTTAGATGTATTCTTGCATATATTGCTTTTTGCTCCAGAGTATTATGAGATCTGCTCTTCAATTTGCTTATCCCCTATGGACCTCTATTCTCAGAATATAAATGTGTTATCCAGCAGTGTCATAACAGCAACCTCAGACTAATTCTCATAGACAAGTCTATCTTTAGCTTTGGTCATAATTATGTTAAATCCTATTGGGAAAACTGACCTATTTTACAAATTTACTTCCAGACACGAAGTATTCAAATTAATCTATTAACTGTTAGAATGCCAGCGATAATTCTATTACTCAAACAAGGAAGGGTGTTCAATCAGTAGAGATCTGACTCCTCTAAATAACAAAAGCAAATGTCATACATTGATCATGTAGATCGCCCCTATTTAAAATTGCTTCTAGCTTTTGACCAGGGGGCAATCTAATGACATATTATTTTTAAACATATACTTGCTAAACTATGAAGGGGAAAACAGCCAGGAAATTCACTGAGCTACTTTTTAATAAGATTTTGAGAAATTATGATTTAATTCTTGCTTTGCTGCATATAATCCCAATCGGGCATTTTGTATTGCATGATCAAATTGCAGCCACAATATTCTTGATGGGATATCAATCTTTTTTTTTTTTTTTTTTTTTTTGCAATCTCTTCTTTCAGAAATCAGAATTTATCTATATTAGAAACGCACCGAGAACTGCACTGTAGAAGTCTTGATTTCATAATGTCAAAAGCAAGCGATTAAAGAGGTGTTAGAATCATTGGGATGCTATAGACCGATGTAGACAGCGTGTAATTTTCTGTGTTTTATTTCTACATGTCTGTCAATCAATAATTTTGTAGAAACATTCTTCAAACAGATCCCATACCAACCATTTCACAATTTTTGTTTCTTATTTTTAAAGGCGTATTTTATGTATTTACGGTTACACTTCTCAAAAAAAGATAAAATTGGAAATGAAGCATAACATCAAAGTTGCAAAATGGAAATAGATAATTGCAGATAAATATATATATATATATATATATATATATATATATATATATATAGAGAGAGAGAGAGAGAGAGAGAGAGAGAGAGAGAGAGAACATTAAATGGTATGTGTAATCTCGAAGCTAAACCAAAACGTAAGTAGTAAAAAGTGACACTTAGACTTACGCATTATAGCTGTTGATGTTAGTCTCTCCTCCAGTCTCTCTTCGTTCAGGTTTATACCCATTGTGACACAATCATCATCTGTAATATACCCATAGTGACACAATAATCATATGTAATATACCCATAGTGACACAATCATCATCTGTAATATACCCGTAGTGACACAATCATCATCTGTAATATACCTATTATCATCATCTGTAATGTACATGTACCAACACTGACACAATCATCATCTGTAATATATCCACAGTGACAAAATCATCCTCTTTAATATACCCATAGTGACTCAATCATGTAATGTATCCATAGTGATACAATCATGTAATGTACCCATAGTGACACAATCATCATCTGTAATATACCCACAGTGACAAAATCATCCTCTTTAATATACCTATAGTGACACAATCATGTAATGTACCCATAGTGACACAATCATGTAATGTACCGATAGTGACACTATCTTCATCTGTAATATACCCACAGTGACAAAATCATCCTCTTTAATATACCTACAGTGACACACTCATGTAATGTACCCATAGTGGCACAATCATGTAATGTACCCATAGTGACACACTCATGTAATGTACCCATAGTGAAACAATCATCATCTGTAATATACACACAGTGACAAAATCATCCTCTTTAATATACCCACAGTGACACAATCATGTAATGTACCCACAGTGACACAATCATGTAATGTACCCATAGTGACACAATCATCATCTGTAATATACCCACAGTGACAAAATCATCCTCTTTAATATACCCATAGTGACACAATCATGTAATGTACCCAAAGTGACACAATCATGTAATGTACCCATAGTGAAAAAATAATCATCTGTAAAACCAACAGTGACAAAATCATCTTCTTTAATATACCCACAGTGACAAAATCATGTAATGTACCCATAGTGGCACAATCATGTAATGTACCCATAGTGACACAATCATGTAATGTATCCATAGTGACAAATCATGTAATGTACCCATAGTGACACAATCGTTATCTGTAATATACCCACAGTGACAAAATCATCCTCTTTAATATACCCACAGTGACACAACATGTAATGTACTCATAGTGGCAAAATCATGTAATTTACCCATAGTGACACAATCATGTAATGTACCCATAGTGACCCCATTAATCATCTGTAATATACCCACAGTGACAAAATCATCCTCTTTAATATACCCACAGTGACACAATCATGTAATGTACCATAGTGGCACAATCATGTAATGTATCCATAGTGACACAATCATGTAATGTATCCATAGTGACACAATCATGTAATGTATCCATAGTGACCCAATCATCATCTGTAATATACCCACAGTGACAAAATCATCCTCTTTAATATACCCACAGTGTCACAATCATGTAATGTACCCACAGTGACACAATCATGTAATGTACCCATAGTGACACAATCATCATCTGTTATATACCCATAGTGACAAAATCATCCTCTTTAATATACCCATAGTGACACAATCATGTAATGCACCCATAGTGACACAATCATGTATTGTACCCATAGTGACACAATCATCATCTGTAATATACCCATGGTGACACAATCATTATCCGTAATATACCCAGAGTGACGCAATCATCATTTATCATATTGTAACTATCACCATTTGTTATAAACCCATTGTGATACAATCATCAATTACAGTATGCTAACAGTGACATATTTTTCTTTTCTTTTGATGTAATTGAAATCCAAGTATTATTGCTTCTGACCTACAAGTGGATCCTAATTTTGACTCAAGATACCCATGCAAAAAAACTATAGTGTAGTGGTAGCTTTGAAAACTTTGATTTACTTTAGTAATAACTTTGAAAACTTTGATTTACTATAGTGATAACTTTAAAAACTTTTATTTTAATTTACTATAATGAAAACATTTACTATAGTGATAACTTTGATTTACTATAGTGATAACTTTGAGAACTTTCATTTACTATAGTGATACTATAGTGATAACATTTACTACAGTCATAACATTTACTATAGTGATAACTTTGAAAACTTCGAATTACTTTAGTGATAACTTTAAAAACTTTGATTTACCTAACTGATCGCTTTAACACTAACTTGATAACTTTGAAAAAATTGAATTACTATAGTGATCACTATGAAAAGTTTGATTCACTATAGTTATCACTGAAATGCACTATATATTGTTGTGTATAAGATGATAACTCTATACATCTTGTTTGACGTACTCTATGACATTTATAAAATGTGACATTTATATTTTTCCATTATTTCCCGATCATGACAAGGAGCACACGGCGGGTGTGATCGGTCGGCAAGGGATGCTCACTCCTCCATGGCACCTGATCCCACCTCTGATGTTTTGGAGGTCCGTGTTTGCTTTGCACCTATTTTGTAATGTTTAATGGACTTTTGAGCTTGAATACTGTTCGTTATCTCCATATATTTCATTAAAAAAAACAATTAAAATGAAAGACAAATATTATTCATATTAGAAATGAGTTGAAAAAAGCAAGGTTTCAAAAAGTATCAAATTAAAAATAAAATATAGTGCATGCAGATAGCATGACATATTTGAAATACTATACAACAAAAGATATATTTAGTAAAATGAGAAAATCTGCAAAACTTGATAATACCTGATTCTGTGAAATTAAACGAGACTTTTATCACAGAACATTATATAATGGAGTAATAAATTTTAAACTTCATATTACTATAGTTCTCACTTCTAAAACTTTGATTTACCAGGGTGATAACTTTAACACTCTGATTTACCAGGGTGATAACTTTAACACTCTGATAACTTTAACACTCTGATTTACCAGGGTGATAACTTTAACACTTTGATTTACCAGGGTGATAACTTTAACACTTTGATTTACCAGGGTGATAACTTTAACACTTTGATTTACCAGGGTGATAACTTTAACACTTTGATTTACCAGGGTGATGACTTTAACACTTTGATTTACCAGGGTGATAACTTTAACACTTTGATTTACCAGGGTGATAACTTTAACACTTTGATTTACCAGGGTGATAACTTTAACACTTTGATTTACCAGGGTGATAACTTTTAACACTTTGATTTACCAGGGTGATAACTTTAACACTTTGATTTACCAGGGTGATAACTTTAACACTTTGATTTACCAGGGTGATAACTTTAACACTTTGATTTACCAGGGTGATGACTTTAACACTTTGATTTACCAGGGTGATAACTTTAACACTTTGATTTACCAGGGTGATAACTTTAACACTCTGATTTACCAGGGTGATAACTTTAACACTCTGATTTACCAGGGTGATAACTTTAACACTCTGATTTACTGTAGTATTATCTTTTTTCCTTTGATTTATCACTGTGATAACTTTGACACTTTATTGATCTCTATAAGACTCTAAGGATATATAAGACTCTAAGGACATATATGACGTTATAGTGATCATTATGACACTACAGTGGTGACTAAAAAAAATTATTTACTATAGTGATAACAATGATACTAAAGTGATAACTTTGAAAACTTTGATTTACAATAGTATTTTTTGCTAGGGTGATTGGGATGGAGAGAAAACATGTATGTATGTTCAGTAAAAGAGAGATTATTTGTGAATCTTTATTTTTTCCTTAAAATACATTAATCACTGTGCAAAACTCTCAAAGGAATACATATGGCGAAAAAGTGTACATTTTGCTAATTTGCATGGCTACCAAATTGTTTTTAATATGACAGATTCCAATAGAAGGGAAAATTAGAAAAACACAGATAAAAATATCAAGTAGAAATAAATTCTTCATCATTTGTTTCTATCTGTGTCTAGCTGGATCAGAATGTACTCTTTTGTTTATAATTAAAATGTCTAAAAAGTTGACAAATATGATGAGAATAAAAAGAATCAATATTTATTAGCATCAGACACGTGATCAACTGTGCAGCATTTCTCCATGTGATGAGTGACATTAAAATACAAAAAGGATTTTTACAGAAATAAAGCCCTGATAAATAATAAAGATGTTCTTAAATGGAGTAAGAAAACGAGAGTTTTAAAGTTAAAAGTCAAAGTTTGTAAAAGATAAATAATTGCTTGCAAAGCGCCAATTTCTCACAAAAATATCATATTTTGGACTTAAAGGCAGCTAATCGTAAGCATCTTTTATTACTACACACGTGTACACAAACCATTTTCTTGCAGTCTGTTGAAGACTTTTAGATTTTTTTATTTTATCAATGAAAAAAAGGTGTCGATAATGAACACTGATCAATGGTATTAATCCAGTACAAAATCGTGAACAAAGCGAAATCAAAGTGATAGTAAACCTACTTCCATCAGTCCAATTATGAGCGCTGAATCTTGGTTCAAATGCGAGATTTTTAAGAAGGTTTTAGTCTTTTCACGAGAATCAATATGTTTTACATTATTAACCCAATAAACTGAGTACTTATGAAATAACGTCTTTGTCTCATTAATTTTATTTGGTATGTCAAAAGCAAGAAATCCTACAAAAACCATTAGGGTGGTAACTAGTCAATCTATTGATTTCGGTTCACTGCATCAGCTGACGACTGGGAGAGGAGTACAGAAGAACCACTATAAATAACAATGGGTCAAATCGCGTGCTTTTTTCACACTATAATACCAAAATAGAAAGAGGTATGATTAGATCAGAATAAAGAAATTCTAGAGGTATTCTTCAAAGATATAAATCCAAGCCAGTATAATATTTCAATTCTCTAAATAAAGTTGAAACTAGCAAAATATTTATGATGTTTGTTTGTTGTTTGACGTCCCTCTCGAGAATTTTTCACTCATATGGAGACGCCACCACTTGCCGGTGGAGAGCAGCAAATTTTGACCTCGGCACTGAGGGCCATTGAGCAGTGAGGGATCTTTTTCGTGCCAGCACCTATTGCGACAAGGGACCTCGGTTTATACGGTCTCATCAGAAGGACCGGTCTCCACGTCCCACAGTGGGATTCGAACCCCAACGTAAGGATTAACTCCTTACTCCGCGACTCTAGAGCAGACGCTCTTCCACTGCGTCACGCGGGCGACTATATTTGATGTAAAACAATTTTCATGAAGTTATTATTTACATTTTGAACAATAGAGAAAAATCGTTCAACCAGTAACTTAACTTAGACGGAATGTTTACCATAATAACAAGTGCTAAATTATCGATGTCGAACTATAAGACGAGAATAAAAGCTATATTCTGGTTATAATCGATGTTGGCCACACTGACCGGAAGCTAGAGGTTAAAAATAGATTATTTCTGTCAGGAACGGCTGTTCGACAATTACATGTTGCTGTATTATTAGAATCCAGATATTACTAGGCTTTTAACGGGCAAACTAAAGTTTTTAGCATACTGAAGATCCTCTTTCTCTTTCTCGGATTTCGTATAATATGATTGTTGCTTTCTAACATACTTTAACGAAGGTTCTTAGTAACCTTTGCATTTTTTATATTATTTCCATCATTTGCAAACTACTTTTTATATCGTACATTGTATATGTCAGGATAATTCTAAAAAGAGGTGTCAAATATTCATATTTCATATTAAGCTTTGCTCTTCATGTGAAAAAAAAAAATAAAGCTGCTGATCATACAGGAGTGTACATATATACATGTACGCACTAATTATATACATATATAATGCTTAAAATATTTAATGAATATTTACGTCAAAAAGTGATCATGTAACTTTAAATTATTTCAAGTTTATGCTAGTACAGAACCTTTCTATTACCTGGTTCGAAGGAATCGACAGACGTTTCTATCCATCTTTGACGGTATTCAAAAAAATTACCTAGAGGTATGCATATCTCGCAACAGTTTACAAATACACTTAACAACTTCACAGACTTATCTGAACCTTAATTGTTAGTTTCTATCAAACCACTGACCTGCATCTAAGTAGACGGTACAGAAACGGAACAGTCCAGACCGAACATTTACTGGTAGTTTGACGGTCATGTTTTCAATGACGCAGTCCATTTCTTCTTCTGTGAACAGCCAGGAATCAGTCGCCACTGACAATGATAGGGTAGCAATGGAAATGGCACCCAGAACAAACGAGCTCAGGGTCAGAGCTTTAGCGCCGCAATACATCGTCTCTTATTTGTAAAGCATTCACAAATACAAATAGTGTGAGTACATTATGCTGTTTTGTCGCCAGATAAGAATATTGTCATTCAACGTGTTCCTCCTGTGTTATTTTATAACTGTATCGTTATGCATTTCCTTGAGGCACACTATATTTTCCTTTTGTTTCTGCATTCATTCACATTTTATTCAGAGAGATGCCTCGCTGAAAATTGGATCCCTTGGCATCTATTGATATAAAAGTTACAACGCCGTGCTTAATCAGAATAATAGAGCAATACAATCCACTGTAGACTTATATGGGAATTTGTTTGGAGATGATGATGGAAATAACCATTGCTGAGATGTGATTACTATATCCAGCAGGAAAATTGATCTTTACCGGGCGGTTGTTTGGCTGCCTCACAATCAAGCGTTTTTGTCCCGGACATGTAACAGAATCCATTCAATTCTCTATCTTAACAATATAGTGATATCTAATGGGTTACTTAATTATTTGATTCAAATGTCCCAATTTTTATTAAGTAACAACTAATGGGTTCCTTAATTATTTTCATTCAAGCGTCCCAATTTTTATAGAGTACGTGTCAATCAAGGATAAAAAGATGAATGAATCGCAAAATTCATTAAAAAAAAACTAAATTGGGTTCAGCACATGATTATTATATATACCATGAACTACAGCAAAGAACAATTATTTTGTGTAATTTCACAGGTAGCTCACAGATTTTTAAGAATATATTAAATCAGAACTTTGCTGAGAATGCGTTAAAACATACTGCTTGTTTAATATGAAAAAAAAAAATGTTTAAAACTTTCCTATATTATACACTTTTGTATTTTAATATGATAAAATAAATAGATAGATAGATGATAGATAGATATAAATTGTATTTGTAGACAAACGTAGAATACACAGTATACACTTATTTCATGACTACGAGGGGAACAGTGCGGCCTCGGGCAACAGTTTCCCAGGTCTTCCTCATTATCGAGGGACAACAGTTTGACTGTTCCCCGAGTTGTCATGAAATAAGTGTTTTATTACCTAACCTACTATATAATATCTTAAAGTAATGATATAGACACATCGACAAAAGTTTGCATTATTTCTTAGTGTTATCATTTCCTAATAAATATTGATGTATACAAGTATTGTTTAGTAAAAGACATATGATGACTGGAAGGTTTGAATATAACACGATGAGTCGGACGTTTTAAAAGGCAAAGATCTATAGTGAGTGAAAGGAGCCTACATTTTTCCAAAATTCCCTCAGAAAAGGTATTCTTGGCCCCTTCTTTCAAATGATATAAAATTGAATATATATTTATATGGGTATTAGGATTACTCTTCAAATGATAATTTCAAATTTATTGCCATGAAAATTCTTCAATTTATACATTGTTCAATATTATAGCTGTAAGTACTGGAAACTAATTGTGACGTCATAATGGACTAGTTCAGCCATGCAACAGTTCATTCTGTGACCGGGTAAACAGTTTTGACTGTTTCATGATGTGCAAAAAAGTTAAAATGAATCAGGAAACAGTTCAAAATGCCTAATTACAATTTATATAGTAGGTTAGGTAATAATAGGAACTATATGCATTTTCAATATCTAGGAACACCAAAATGTATATTGTTTTGACTTAATTTAATATGTAAAAAAAAAAAAAAAAAAAAAAAAAAAAAAAAAAAAAAAAAAAAACTACCCTGTTCAATTAACGAAAAATACAACAACTGTGCGTTTATAAATAATTTGTCATTTTTTCTCTCTCAATGTTCATTGCCGTTATTTAACTTTCCAAGGTCACAAACGGCTCTTACGTTTATTAAGCACACCAGTTCTGAAATGCACTAAATTCATAATAAAGATTGATAAAATAAACAATTATGAAGAGAGAAAATTAGAGAATGTAAATGGATATATCGAGTAGACATATGAATGTAAGTAACTATTGTTAACTGATAATACGTCATATGTATGTAAATGTCGAGTTGACAAGAGTTTTCTTCTTCTCATGTATAAAATTTTGAATAAGTTCTGCTTCATATGAATACAAAAATAGGTCTGCATATAAGGGGGCGCAATTGATACCCATGCCAAATCCGACAGATTGTTGGAAGATCTGGTTTCCAAAAACTACACAGATATTGACAATCAGAAACTCAAGGATCTTTTGAATGTCAACTTTAGAGTACTTGTACGTACAATCAGAATTTTTTTTTAACAAAATAATGTTGCAAATGACTAATGACAAGGTAAGTAAATTTACGAGTTCCATTTTTATTGAAAAAGCAGCTGTTAATGATATCAAAAAGCCTGGACTTTAAATTATCGTGTGGAACGGTTGTATAAAGTGTTGAAAAGTCGTGCGTTTTGATGTTACTGATTTTTGTAAAATTCAGTGATTTCAAATTTTCTAAAAGTTTCTTGGAATTTATTTTTACAAAATACAATTCGAAGAATTTTTTATGCATATTTCCATCGTTCTGAACCCCAGCTGAATACTCTTAAAATAGAAATACCGATTGCAGTTAGGAAAACAAATAATTTTTTTTTCAAAAAACTAATAAGTAAGTTACTAAAGAACGAGCTAACAAGTAAGTCATTAAGGAACGAGCTAACAAGTAAGTCTCTTAAGATACTTCTATAGTTCTATAGTTTTGAACACCAGCCGAATGCTCTCAAAATAGGAATACTGATTGCAGTTAAGAAAACAAAATAGAAATATATTTCAAAAAGCTAACAAGTAAGTCATTAAAGAACGAACTAACAAGTAAGTCACTAAAGAACGAGCTAACAAGTAAGTCATTAAAGAACCAGCTTACAAGTAAGTCATTAAAGAACGAGCTAACAAGTAAGTCACTAAAGAACAAGCTAACAAGTAAGTCACTAAAGAACGAACTAATAAGTAAGTCATTTAAGAACGAATTAACAAGTAAGTCATTAAAGAACGAACTAACAAGTAAGTCACTAAAGAACGAACTAACAAGTAAGTCACTAAAGAACGAACTAATAAGTAAGTCATTAAAGAACGAATTAACAAGTAAGTCATTAAAGAACCAGCTTACAAGTAAGTCATTAAAGAAAGAACTAACAAGTAAGTCACTAAAGAACGAACTAACAAGTAAGTCACTAAAGAACGAACTAATAAGTAAGTCACTTAAGAACGAACTAACAAGTAAGTCATTAAAGAACCAGCTTACAAGTAAGTCATTAAAGAACGAACTAACAAGTAAGTCACTAAAGAACGAACTAACAAGTATCATTAAAGAACGAACTAATAAGTAAGTCACTAAAGAACGAACTAACAAGTAAGTCATTAAAGAAACAGCTTACAAGTAAGTCATTAAAGAACTAGCTAACAAGTATCATTAAAGAACGAACTTACAAGTAAGTCATTAAAGAACGAACTAATAAGTAAGTGACTTGAGAACAAGCTAACAAGTAAGTCGTTAAAGAACGAGGAAACCGTTGTCGTTCCCGCTACGCTCCCACATACACCTCTGTCAACGCTTGTTATACAAGATTCTTAGAAAAATTGTAAATGGTTAAAAGTTGTATAAATAATCGTTTTTAATTATATATCTTATCGGAAAACATTATTTATTTTAATTTATTACACCTTAAAAGGATTTTTTAATTAAGATTTTTTAAATTGTTACTCCGCAAAATAGTTCCCTAAAAACTTTGAAAATAAGTCGTTTTGAAGTATTATAGGTTTAAAATAAATAATGAATTAATATCTTTATCGATAATTACAATAATTAATTACTATTTAAATTTCAAATTTTCACCGTTTAAAATTTGTACAAGAATCTTGTACAACGAGCATTGACAGAGGTGTTGTGAGCATAGCGGAGGACAACTCTGGATAGAGAATGACATACACGGAAGACAACTCTGGATAGAGAATGCGAGGAAACAAGTAAGTCTTTAAAGAACGAGCTAACAAGTAAGTCATTAAAGAACGAGCAAACACGTAAGTTTCCAAAGAACGAGATAACAAGTAAGTCACTATAGATCGAGTAAGTAATTAAAAAGCTAGCTAACAAGTAAGACATTAAAAACAAGCTAACAAGTAAGTCAGCAAAGTGTCATTTTTGTTTACTCCTGTAGTTCTCATAAAGAATTAAAAGCTAGATTATTGTGCTGTGTATCATGATGGTCATCACAAAATTTCTTAGTTTTGACCTAAATGAAGCACCAAAATATTGTCACATTGAAGTTACAATAACCGGTCATTTTTGAAGCTGCAACTGACTACCGTACAATCAATGGCATGCGCGGATCTAGAGGGGGGGGGGGTCCGGACGCCCCCTGGAATTTGCAGAGTTATTAAAAGTATATACTTTTTTTGACTGGGGTGGAACCCCCCCCCCGTAAAAAAATTCCTGGATCCGCGCCTAAATGGCAACAACAATTATTTCTGTGTCAGTTCTCCAAGGCCGTAACTACCATTGAGGCAAGTGAGGCGAATACCTAATTAAAATTTTAGAGTTTTCTAAAAAGTGAAAAATTTTACTTTCAACTTTAATTAATTACGCATGTCTTTGTACTAAATTAATATTTTCAACTTTTTGTAAATCGATTATCTCACCAGGTGCTTCATCATAGTTTAAAACGCATGTAAAATTTAATTCAAAATGTGAAAACTTTCGAAGATTAAGTCTTTAATTTACTAAAACCCAGGTTTCGGGAACTCCCCCTCCCTCAGAGAACCCTCATTAGGACACTACCCTGGAGCCGCTTGGGACTCGGGTGGCCCCAGATCCCTTACCTCACTAAATTGTTTGCCTAGTTACGGCCTTGCAAAAAAATTAACTTGAAATTAGTTAAGCTTTGATGAAGGAATGAGAATATTGTTATTCAGACAAGATGCAAGAAATGCCAATAACAATTTAATTCTAAGCTGCTTTGATCAGGGTTAAAAATTAATTGAAAGCAAACCCACTGTATATGAACGAAGTTTCAAAGAATACAATGCATGCAGAAAGAGGAGAAATATAATAAATTATTCTATTTCTAAGCACATCAACCTACTCCAGTATATCCTTTCGCTGTCGTCTGTAACTTCAAGTTTTTTTTTTAATTTTCATTTCAGGACTTACGTAACATTGATTTTACGTCAAGAAACCTCCTTGGAATTGTAATAGTGGTAATGGAATTTGAAACCGAGCTGATAACTGGAAAAGAGGTTAAAGGCTTAGTTCTATTAGATAAGAAAAAAGAAATGCAAATTAATCATCTATTAATTGATGATTATGATAATTTGCACAAACTTTGAAAATATTTCTTTGTATTTCTTATTGCGTTTATATACATTAAGGCATGTGA